AACAACATGTGGGTTACCACTTTAAGAATCTAGCTCTCATTTTCCAGTAAACCAGGACAGAGAGGCGTTCATTCAAATACCCAGTCTCACACCCGGTTCATCTCAAAATGACCACACAGCTTTTTCAGGCAGAGTGGTTTGTTCTTTCAGTACATCAAGGAAATGACAGACTTTTATTCCTAATGTTGAAGAGCAAGATGTATCTGCACTGACGCACGGAAACAAAACTACCTACAGAGAAAAACTCTGGTGTTAATGTCTGTGTTGCCCTATGAGTACTTCTATACTAGTTTGTAGCACACATGATGGAATCACCATGTGTGAATTATAGGGCCACAACAATGAATTGCTGCACATTCACCGTACTAAGTATTGTGTCATTAGCAGGCTCTGAAGCTCTTTCTAGAGTACATTCAACAGGCTATGTGTCTATGCAAGCAGCCAGTCCTATATGTTATGTGTGCATACATGTGCACAAGAGACCCACACATGTATGTGAGGCGGTGTGGGTCTCTATCTCGTTGGAGTTAGACCCTTACCTCTCCTTCTTATCACTCTGTCCTGTTTGCTCAGACCTTGCAATGTTCTACCTCTCAAATGTGGGTTTAGAAAAAAAGGAGGTTTAACCCATTAGCTCTCGTAGTTTCTACTTTACCCTTTATTCAGCCAACTGTCAAAGTTTATTTTCCGTTGGCTCCCCTCTGCCACCCGTACCAGTCTCCCTTCAGCCAATGAGTCCTAATGGTCTTAGTCAGCTGTTTTCTATGCTGTATAAAGATCTTTATTGCAATGTGGGATTATATCATATCCTGAGGTTCAACAGTCTGTTATTGTCCCCCTGCCCTCCCCATGAGGTCAGAGGTCACTGTGGTGTATAGAGCAGAAGTCCTGAATGCTGGTAGGGATTCACTGTATTGCTCAAAGACAGAGAGGGTGGAGGCTTGAGTCTGATACTCATAGTTCAAGTGCCCCCCAAAGTCTGTCGTCAAATGTAAAGTCAAGCATAAGGGAGGGACTTTATGAATGTGAGAGAGAGAGAGACAACATGTCAGACAGCTAACAGACCAGCAGGCAGCGCTTAGGTGAAGCAGTTGATGGCTGTCAGATAGAAGACACTTTAAATCAAACATTGCTTTTAGCTGTGTTATTGTTTTGCATGAAGAGTGGTCTTCATATTGACTAGAACCGCCTTAAAAAACCCCCATATGTCAGCCATCACAGCATGATTTACATTTATCCTTTGGTCTTTAGTAAACACAAGATGCCAAGTAGTCATATTGATTTTAGAAAGCCTTCATAAAGGTCTGGCAATGGAATTGCGGAGGAAATCCTCTATTAGTCTGCAAAGTATTTCCTTAGCTATTAAATGGCCTTTACCACAGCTACTCAGATATGGTGAATGTTGCAGTGATGGGGTGAAAAACATGAAGCAAGTAGGTTGCTGTAATGCTGTAAAAGCACTTTGACTGGCAGAAACAATGAAACCTGTCTGCTTTCAGACCACAGCAGCAGCTTTCTCATAATTCATTTTTTTCTGTTGGTCCATGCAACAGTTTTTGAACAAAGCGGAATTTCCCAAAAATAGCTGGTTACTGTCCCAAATGGTAGATAAGGTAAAGAAATTACCCAAAGTACAGTGGTGATTTCCCACCCAGGCTACAGTATAAAGGAGATCCAGCAGGGGATTTTAAGCGGTTTCATCCCTGGACCACTGAGACTGCTTGGTTCACTGAGCTGTGGTTTGGATATTAAAAGCTCATTCTAGCAAAGGTCTGTTCAATCCTAATGTGAGAGAACCTCCAGACATTTTGTTGCACCCAAAGGGGTTGGTGTGGCTCCACCAGCTTCCTAAAGCATTGTTAACTAGCTCTGTTCGTAAATCAGTATCTGGCGGACACATTTGTCTTTGGATAGTCCTCTTTACATGTTTTCTAGTACTGTGTTTTCATGTATTCTTGTTAGTACATGCTTATATCAATGTCATATGTAAAAGGTTGTATAAGCATCAAACCATCATTTAGGGAAGTGGGTGGGTGGAGGCGGGTTGTGGGCTGGGGGTTGGGGGACAAGGGACGTGCAATGTAATTTTCACCATCTAGCGTGTAGGAAATGGTGATGTCTGTGATGAACCGTGGCATGAAACCGTAGCGACCACTTCTGCTTCCCTCTGCACAGGAAGAGTCAAATGAAAAGCTTTGTTGTAATCACTTCTGTCTTTGAAATTATATTTATGACACACACTGAGAGAGAGAGAGACACATGGTGTCAGAGCCAGTATGGTTTTGGGGCTCAAACATGGAGTGAAACTTGTGCTGATTCGCACAAGTTTAAAGTGTGGCTACTAACGTGTTGGTTAGTGAGAATTGTATAATATATTGTGCACGTACAAGCAGTTTCATGTACGGGCTGTTCTGAAGTGAGTTTGCCTCATGTTCCTTAATGCAAAATAAATGGATAGATCTTGGTTTTGCCCACCGTCATCCTGTTTAAACTGGCACTATTCTCCATCCGGCAACTGTAGCCATTCAGTCGTGCCTCTATAGCCCTTAAAGAATGTAATGAATCAATATTGCATCTGCTCCGTCAGTTGTCACTTCCTTCACACAGGTTTTACAGCTCTTGTTTCCTTGCGCAACACTTCTCGTACATGCAGCTAATAGAGGGTGACTGAAATATTTCTTCCTGTGCATGCTGGGGTTTATCATTGACTGTTGACAAAAGATTTTGTCGACGCGTTGCATTTTATTAAACACTTTTTAAGACTTTTTGCCGTAGTGGCAGACCCTTAGAAGTACATTTTGTGGCTCGGGCATCTGGTTGATCAGAGGGTGTCAACTGTATGCTGATTGCTGCCGGTTGGCCGTTCCGTGGGGACTGAGGGTATTTGTCGTCTCGGTTTCCTTCAAACTTGCTATTGTGATTCAGCCATTGTGATTCTGCCTGACCACATATAAACCAACTGTGGCCGTTGGTACACAATTTATGAGGTTACTCAGCTTTGAGGCGTGGAGATGACTAAATGAGAATGCATCATGGGGAAAGGCGCATTAACATATCTGACTCTAATTACTCCACCATACCTGTGAAATGCTGGTATGATTCTCTGTGTAATTCCAGTGAGCCACATGAGCGCATGCAGGAGAAAAACAAGCCTGTTTCCCTGTAGCCTCCCAAGAACAATATCCCTTCATGATTATTTCCTCATTGCAGTGTGATGATCAGGTGTAATGTGGGCAGGGACTGCAGTGGTGGCCACATTGTAGACAGGTTAGCGTGGCTGGTTGTATGTAGTAGTAACTGGTGTCCTAGAGTTTCCCCATGGGATGTGGTCTTCATCTTGCCTCAAGGAGCTGCTGACTCAAAAATGATTTGTGAAACCTTGTTCCACTTGAAAGGGTTTCATGACTCTGATCATGCTGTTTCAGAGGCTTCTTTTGCACTTAGACATAATATAAAAAATGTGGTTGAAACATTAATGCCTTATAAATTGTCTTTCTTATTTGTTGCTCAATTATACTAATGGCAAAAATCATCTCTCAGTGCAAGAGTAAAATTCAAAATGGTCAGAGGGAGTTTGCTAAAATAATGATATGAAAGACATCTGACATCTTTTATTTGTGGAGTCTCCTGACGATATGCTTTTTCTTCATATCACTAGTTAGATGTTTCTGAATATTGGTGAAAAGGTTTGTTTTCCAACTACCTCAAACCAAAATCAGTACAGGGTGGTTGAGTTGCTTCTATTAGTGATTCAACTTTAACTGTATCTCATTCATGCTTTCATCCAGAGTGCACTCATGTGTAAGAAGTGCAATGCAAAACCTGAAGTTTTTGAAAGTACAAGATCAGGGCAGGTGGTGGCGACACGTTCACGTATTAGTCAGCATAGATGAGATGAGTGGTGGCGTACAGTCACAGCTGCCTCCTGTCATGACTGGCACTTCAGCAGGTCCAGCATCTGCACTTGAAATGAATTTCCTCTCTGCCTGACTGATCTGAGCTTCAAACCCAGACTCCTTAACATTTGTAACACGCTCTGTGTAAACCGAGTGGGCAGAGCGTTACTCCCACTCCGTAGAGCTGTAGGTGTGATCACTGTGGTGTTGTAACAGTTGACTATAGGGAACAGATTGATGCAAGCATGTTGAAGCTCATTGCTTATAACAGACACTGCTTTGCATACCTGAGCACTCTTGGGAACAGGTATGTCGGAGAAGCATTACTGCCGACAGATGTTGCATGAAAACTCCCCGCTGTGTCTCTACACTTGAGACAGTGTTGACTGGTAGGCTGAAATTAATCTTGGCTTTGACCCAACCAGGTGAAGAAAGCGATGGTTCTGTGATTTCATTTCCTCTTGTTGTTGAGGCTCAAACACTCTGTCCTCCTGTGTGAACGGCCTGTCTGGTCTGGTTTTTTTGTATAAGTAACCGTGCACATGTTGCACAACTGACAACTCGGAAAGTGCCTCTTTATGCTTCACATGGATTTCAGACTGAAGTGAGCATTTTTGTTTGTGAAATTGGGTATTTTCTTCTCTTTTAAAGTCGTGATTTAAGTTGACAGGGCGGCTCTGTAGTCATCGCACTACTTTACAAAACTTCAGTCAGGATATTAATAGTCATGAATCTAAAGGTGATTGATCAAGTTCCCCAAATAATTTGTTGGAGTTTTTCCTGCCGTATCATCCCTTAACATGATATATCGCTTTATATAAAGTGTGTTTGCAAAACAGGAAGACAAAGTCAATGCAATTAGAAAAATCAAAATGACACCATATACAAACTGAGACTTTTGGTTTTGGATTCATCACAACTGTATCATGTCGGAGGAGCAAGAGAAGATGTCCGCTTTAGTGATTGGCTAATGAATGGAAAGTTTAAAAATAGAGACATTTTTGATGATGAACAAAAAGCTGTTGCCCTTCGACTGAAGGTGCTGATGCTAACAAAAAGTGGGGAAGTAGCAGTCTGACACTTCTTATTCTTTCTCTCCCTCAGGTCTTTGTAGTCTGTCAGCATACTCGTGTCCTCCTACCTTCACTTCCGCTACTTGTGCCTCACTGAACACTTTGATACAAGAAAGAGTCCTCTTGTCTCCAGAACTGCAGCCGACCTTTCTCAGAACTCAGACCAACCACCTCTTCCTCCTCTTCCTCCTCCTTCCACTTCAAAACTAAAAACCTTCCAACATCCAGCCTGCTGCTAGCTGCTACACCACAGACACGGTTGGCAATCGCTCTTCCTGTGCAGAAGGGTTGACCAACCAACGTCCCCGGACTGGCCCCGGACTGGTGCTCCTTCAGTGGGGGAGGGAGGGGAAAGAAGGCCGCTGAATTCCGCGCCGCTTTCCCCGGGGATGAAGCTGCAGGCTGTCATGGAGAACCTGCACAGGCAGCAGAGGGCCAAGCTGCTGATGGAGCAGCAGCTACAGCAGCAAGTTGCCGCCCAACACACTCAGGTCCGCACAATTGTTGGAGGAGGGGATGAGCCAATGGGGAGCCCGGCCCCTGAGGCGGAGCAGGCCCAGATGGCAGCACTGGCAGCCATGCGTGCGGCAGCGGCCGGGCTGCAGAGGGTGTCGGACAGCCCCATGTCAGATCGCAGCAGCGGTGGCGAGGACGAAGGTGACAATGATGACAATGAAAACGGGGAGGAGCATTACAAGGACATGATGGGGTCAGATGAGGAGGAGCAAATGTGAGTACTGAATGTCTTTGTTCAATTTGCCCTGAAACATGTAATCTGTGCCAATGGCACTCTTCCTTGACCTCTGGAATATTCTGTTTTTAATACACACAGCAAACAGAAATGGGACGAGGAAGACTTTGAAGGCGAGATGGAAGAAGATTTTGATGATGACCTGGCGGAGGAGGGTCTGCCAACGGGCCATGCCGCGGTGGCTCCCGGGAAGGGCATCCTCCTGCTGCCCCACCGACAACTCCATCCCCACTCCCAGCTGCTGAAAGCCCGTCCAAGTGTCGACCAGGAGCCCCGCTTAGCCATCCTGCCTCCCCACGCGACGCACAGCCATCTAGGCGGGCAGGACCATGGAGACTGGACCTACGAAGAGCAGTTCAGACAAGTAAGATGCCCTCGTATTTCTTCATTTACCTCATGCTCTACTGCCTGGTGTGTTTTAATTTACAACTACATGTAAATGAACATTGCTACTGTAGATTCAGTCATGTCAAAGTCTGCAGCTTTGACTCTTGCAGTCAGGTTGTCACTGTGAAGAATCATATCAGCTAGATCCCTAAAAAAGTCTGCTGCTGTAGCACACTAAGGATACAGATAAATCTAAAATGTTTGTTGACCAATGAGTCACATCTGGCCTTTGCACCCCTCACATCAGGTCACTTTCCAAGCTGAAGAAATGGGCCAGTGTAGGAAATTAAGACCAGCCAGACGTTGATGAACCCTACGCTGAGGCTTTTAAGTTTGTCTTTGCCACCTGACATTCTGGCACGGTACATCTGTTAAAGGTTCTGGTATAAAACTGGCAGAGCAGCTTAGTGCCTGGTAAGACTTGACATTTACCAATCACTGTGGCCTGAGAGTGAGATGACTGCTAGCTGAGGCAGAGAAGCTGAGGGCAGGGAGAGGGGAGGGTGCATTTTAACAGATTTACCATGCTGGCGTTTACTGTAAACATGCTAGTGGGCTGGATATTATGAGGGAGGCCCCGGTGTAATAAGAAGGGCCGTTTACATGAAGGGATTTAAGTCTGTCAACAAGTTCAGATGGAGTGCTGCTGCTGATTTAAAAAAAAAAAGACTGAGAGACAAGGGAACAGAGGAACAAAGTAAAATCAACTCACTGTTCACCACTGCCGATAAAAAAAAAAAAAAACAACTAAAAACTTGTTCCATGATACCCAATTTCTTATACATTTTCTGCCATATTTGCCATCACATAGTTCATATTCATCTCATTTCCAAAAAACATTGATTCGTACCATTAGTACAATATAAAATGCTGTGTAAATGTGTTGGAGATGGTAATAGTATCCATTATTGAATCAATTTATCAGTTAAACCCTTTCAATTATCCTTGTCTAAAAACTAAGGCTGCTAGACTGTGATTAAATGTGGCATACTGTATAACTAAGCCTCCGTTTTATGCAAAACCAGCTGATACGACATAATGGAAACTATTATTATCATTCAAGCACACCTGTAGTCCTGTAGCAATATTTCAAGCTATAAAACATTTGAAAGTATGAGCAGCAGCTTGCTTTTACATTTTACTAAACTCTTTTAGAAGAGCAAACTGGTTTAGGAATTGCCCAATCGCCAAGTCCTGCCCCTCGAACACAGACTGGCCAATCTTAGCGTAGCATTGGCCGGCTCTGACTAGGGGTCCGACAACTAACCGTCTCTGCTCTATAAACTCTCAAGCGATCGTTTCAGATTTTCTTCATTTTCATGCTGCTTTTGTTGGATTTTGCGCTAGTCGTGGTTAAAGGCTGTGTTATAATGATACTCAATACCCGGAGAGGTTGGAAGGAGATATGCCTTTCTAAAATGTTTCTACGTTAAAACCTTTGGAGCTAACATTAGCAGAGTATGTTACACATCGTTTACTAGCATTAGCATCTGTGCTACGCTAACTACTAAAAGTATACTGAATGTATACATATGCTGCTTTGGGTTTTTAATTATTGTAACAATGAAATAAGACCTATTCTGCTTTACAGGAACAGTGTTGTTCCTAAATTACATTATGTTCTGTCGAGATCACCAGGTGATGTGGTGGTTCCCTTTTACACTGTGATCTGTAGCTTTAGTTTCTATCTTTATCTTCTTAACCGTTTTTGCTGCTGAATCAGTTTGACAGAAAGGATATAGCCTTCAAACGAATATTGTAGACCCTTCTGTCTGCTTTTCTCTGAAATCACTTTTTTGTTATCCCAAAAATTGGATGATATTTATCTAGGAAGTGCAGTTAGTGACAGTGTGGCTCCACGGCAGCTTTGACAGCTTGACGTAGTAGCTGTCCAGCGGTGGGTGGACATAGAAATTTAGAAATTGACATTGATGCCTTCAGTATGTTGGAGGTAAACAACTTAAACCCAACCATGTGCTTCATTTTTAAACCTAACCATGTATTCTGTAATTTAAGGCCTGTTTTTTTGTAATTACACAGCATATGGAATATAACTCCTCTAAAACCTACACTCTGCTTCTCTAAATAGTCCACCCCTCCCCCTGTAAAGCCATGTGGGGATAACTTGAATTGATACTCTCAACAGTTGGTGGCTTTCATATGTCAGGTAGGAACATTTTTATCATTACATGTCAGTCAGTCGCTGACGGTTATATAATCAAGTCAGCCAGAATATTGGCTGTTAAGATAGAGTTACCTCATCCACAGTTGATTGAAAACGATGTCACGCCCACACAATGTCAAACTTCTCCTACTAAAGTGGGACAAAGCAGAGCGGAAGACCAAGCTGCATGCTGACATTTAAAACCTGCATGCTGACATATCGGGAACAAAGCAACAACGGTCACATCTGTTTGCCGGGAGTCTTGGCTCTCAACCTCAGTGCTGCTTATAGTGTATAATGTGGTGAATACAGGATTTTAGTCGTGCACATTATTCACACAGGACTCATTTGGCCCTTGGATGATTACTGTGATTAGTAATAATTGCAGCTTTAGTGATTATAATGCTCCGTGACTGTGCTGTGTAAAGCAAAAGTGGGCGACCTGTTATGACTAAGACAGTCTGCCCCCTGATAATTCAAACCCAAATCAAACTCAGTAATATCAGCTTATATTTGGTTGGTGCCATTTTTCATCTGCTTCTTCCTTTTTTTTAATCTGAAACCGCCATTTGTGGTTTCTTCTTGTCATGGGAAAGAAGACAGTTAAGTCTACAGACCACAGTTTCTTAATGCATTTTCAGTGCAAACTTGATCGGTGGAGGTTAAGAAATGTAAAATGTTGAAATTATATTGTAATGTGTGTAATAGTGGTGAGTCATAAAAGCCCAAAGCAAAATGTCATAACTTACTTTGGCTGCACGCAAGCACATGTACAGCTGGCTGAAACATCCCCAAAAAATTAAATATGGTGCAGCCATCAAGATGAGGAAAACTTCACCCGAAATCACTCGAACACACAAAAACAATCATAATTGGAGCTTCAAAAAGTTAATTGCTATACCTGACAAGCTCTCATAAGCTGAAACAGAGTTATCATTTCACTATTGTTTAAAATGCCGTGCTACCTACCTTGCTCTTACACATTAATGTTGAGTATTCAGCTGTTGCATGTTGAGGCAGAAGTGCAATAGAGAGTTAAGTCAAACTATGAACTCATGCATTAGCCTAGCAGTCCATTTTTATCATAAAACTCTGTGACTACAGACAAATAGTGTAGAAACAGCACTCCTTAACAACTGGATAAGGCCTCTGTGTTTTGGGCATGGGACACATCTGGTTGCAGGTGGGCTTTCCATCTCAGTCATAATTGTGTATCTCTTTTTTAATTACACACACAAATGAAAATATTTTTAAGTACTTACAAGTAAGTAAGTATTATAAGTATTTTAAAGAGCGGACAAGAGATGTAATTGGTTATTCTTAAATTTAGCGTTCCATGCAGTTGCATATGAGCTGAATCTTTAAAATATGTGTACCCTTTAACCAGTACTGGTCATATTGTTTGCTCTTGTCTACATAACAAAATGGCATAAATGCAATGCATATTTTTTTCACTTTCGAAGATTATATCTCCAAGAATAATGGGAGAAAGTCAAGATCTCCTGCATTGTGAGCACCCATAACTTACTCTAAGTCTCATGTGTTCTGGAGTTAAACGCGTTTTGTAGGGCACACTGAGTGGGGAGGAAGGGGTTAAGGCTGTACAGTTTATTTTGTGCAGGTAGGTGGAGGCTGTTGGAATGTGCCTGAGGGAGGGTGATAATGTGGCCACTGGGAACCCAGATCCTCAGCAGAGAGTCTGCGTGCCTCTATCAGTTGGCAGCAGTTGGAGCTCTTCCAAACGAAGAACGGCCCTTTTCTCTGTTGCGTTTAAAGTCATGTAATTTGTTAAATCACAATATCACATCATACAGTGTGATACAATGTGCATCACAACTGTGGTGGTTCCTGACCCAGTCCAAGGTAAACCTTTCCATACCAAGGAAAAAGATGGAGAAACCTTAAGAGAGGACATTCAAAACAGACTCCTCACATTTAAATTGGAAAAGAAGTTGTAACAGTTAGTAGAAATACAAAATACAGCAACTGGATTGTAATCTAACAACAGGTATTTAACTCATTTATATATAGTAAAGTGAATCTAATTTAAGTCAGTAAAGAAAGTCTGACAAATGACTCCAATAAAATAATTCCAATGTCCTTGAATATCACTTTTGCACACCTCTCTAGATCCAAGGTACCATGTGGGTGAGGAAGCATGCACACAAACCCCACTTTTAGGTGAGGTTTGCCCTCAGGCTGTGTGTGTGTGTGGCTGAAATATATCAGCCAAGGCCCGACCTGCCTTCCTGGTGAATCAGCCGGCTACCTTCCTCTCTCCCCACTCTTAGCTGAAAGGTCAGACTAAATCAAGCCAGCAAGTGTCATACCTGGCTGTGGCAGGGTGCAGAGGTATTGAATAAAGGACAAGGATTCATGCAGGTATCAGATTATGCCAGCATATTTGGATTATTTTGTAATTGAAACCAGTTTGTGCTGCTGGTGGTATGCCATTTCAGCCTCAGCAGAGTTATTTCAGTGATACCACTGCAACCCTTGAGCTCTCCCCCATACCAACCTGTTCTCATTCCTGACTCTTCAAATACCGACGCTTGGTCAGTGGCCCTCTGCGTCTGATAAAGATGCACTGAAGCACACTTTAACATCTTCATGAGACCTCCACCGTAAGGCCAACCGCGTCAATGGTAGACGGTCAGAACAACTGTATAAAAGGGGTGAAAGTCCGCTATGGGCTTTGTGGGAGGGGAGGTTGACCGGGTCAAACATACATGGGACTTTTACCCAGGAACCCCATGTGTAACCAAGCCAGCAAACAGATCTGGGTTTTATCCCATCTCCTAAGCCTAACCAAA